GAACCGCAAAAACACCGTTAGTAAGCCCATTTCGCGGCCTCAAAGCCAAAGCGATGCTGCAAGACAAATAACATTGAGTCACAATTTTTTTGTTAACAAAATCAAGTAATCAGTATATTTTTGACGTTGCCAAAAAAAATTGTGAAAATAAAAACATGGATAACGAAACATTATACGAAGATGATGATTATGGTCTACAATATTCTGAAGATAGCGCATCAGAACCAGATGTTGACTTAGAAAACCAATATTATCATAGTAAAATTATTAAAGAAGATAATCCGCGTGCTGCTTTGGCGGCTTTCCAACGCGTTATTGATTTGCAAGGTGAAAATAAAGGTGAATGGGGTTTTAAAGCGTTAAAGCAGATGGTGAAAATAAATTTTAAACTGAAGAATTACGATGAGATGTTGAGTAAGTACCGTGAGATGCTCGACTATTTGAAATCGACCGTGACGAAGAATCACGGAGAGAAATCTATAAATTCAGTTCTGGATTTTACATCGACCTCGAAAAACATCGAATTGTTGCAAGATTTTTACGAGACAACTTTGGAGATGTTAAAAGATTCGAATAACGAACGGTTATGGTTTAAAACTAACATAAAGTTGGGGAAAATTTATTTGGAAAGGGAAGAATTTAATAAAACAATGCACATTTTGCGACAATTAAAAAAATCTTGTTTAACACCCGAAGGTGAAGAAGATTTACAAAAAGGAACTCAACTTTTAGAGATTTACGCGTTGGAAATTCAAATTTGTACGGCTCAAAAAAACAATAAACAATTAAAAAAACTGTATGAGAGGGCTTTAAAGATTCCTTCAGCTATCCCACACCCGTTAATAATGAGTATTATTCGGGAATGTGGCGGGAAAATGCATTTAAGATCCGGGGATTATGAAAAAGCGTACACAGATTTCTTTTTGGCGTTTAAAAACTATGACGAATCGGGAAATCCCCGAAGAATAACCTGTTTAAAATATTTAATACTAACAAGTATGTTAATGAAATCAACGATAAACCCGATTGATTCACAAGAAGCGAAACCTTACATTCTCGATCCGGAAATAATAGCCATGAACAATTTAATAACAGCTTATCAAAAAAACGATAAACGATCCTTTGAGAAAATTTTTATTGACAACAAAGAAAGCTTAATGAACGATCCATTTATAAGAGATCACATCGAGGGATTATTACAGATAGTAAGAACCCAAGTTCTTTTAACATTAATTAAACCGTATCGTGTTGTAAAATTGGGGTTCATCTCGAAAGAATTAAATGTTAGCGTCGATGAAGCCGAAAATTTAGTTGTAATGTGCATTTTAAATGAATTAATTGATGGAAGAATCGATCAAGTGAATCAAGTTTTAATAAAGAAGGAGCGAAATTTGTCCGGGTCGATTTTCCATTATGATGCGGCTGAAAAAATGGTGAATTGCGTTGGAAAAGTTATTGATAGTGTTACATCCGATTTTGTAATTTAATTATTCAAGTACTTAAAATATAAGTCGTGAATTTGTAAATGTCAGGCTCAATGTCGTATAAATAACAAATAATTTCCCGTTAAATACCACGGTAAACGGTGCATCAAAAACGGCTCTTCCCATTCATGGAAAGACTTCAAGGTCAAAACGGATACTTAAACGGTTATTATTTTGGTTAAGCCACTTCGCAACTAACTCAAACTTGACCATGACGATGTTTTAAATTGAAATCGAACCGAGTAACTGTAACTTTTTTATAAATTGACTTTTATAAATTGTGCGAAATTTATTTTAGATCTAAAATTAAACTTTGTTAATATATTCCGATGATTACTCCAATTTAAACCAATTAATAAAGAGGTAACGGGCTAAATAAGTTGCTCAAGAAGGAAACGTGTTAATTAAATAGTAACGATTTAACTCTAAATCATGATGGTTTAATTATTTTGAGTCAAAAATATTAAAAAAAAATTCTGTTTGAACTCTGTGACCCTGAACTTCGAGAGTTGGAGTCCAAAACGAAATGAAAGAAAGACGAAGGATAAAAATCGGCACATCTCCTAAAGAAGCAGAAGAAGAAGCCGCCGACGAAACTCACCTCCTCGGGCGTCGCGATGCGGCGACAAAAAGCGGTCCAAAAATCCACTCCGGCAACAAAAAGAGAATAAAAAATGTAAACCCGAACCAAAAAGTTCCAAAAAAGCTTTTGCGGAACGCAACTCTTTTTTTTTTGGTCTCGTTTAATTTTATTAATTTTTTTTTTGGTTTTCAAGGAGTCCGTAAAGCACAGGTGACTTCTTGTACGCGCGAACCGTTGACTGACCGGTCACCTATCAGAACCGCGCCGCACTGACTTACTGACTGGATGTTGTGTGTGGAGGCTGGAGGCTCCGACGACGGTAACAGGTGACTTCAAGCACTGACTGTTGGTTGCCCCGATGTACCTACACACAACACAACCGACCACGACGACGACGACTTTTCTGGGCCGGGTCGGGTCTCTCACTTCTTCTTCCCACGCAAAAACGAACCCACGAGATTTACACCTGAAGTATTATTTTCGAAAGGAACTTGACTTTATTTCAATATAACTCGAATTTCATGTCTATACGAATTTGAAAAGAATAAATTTTTAAAAAATCTTTTTACTTTATCAATTTAATGTCAAATTTGAAATTTATATCAAAAAGTTTGATGACATCAACGTAAAATTGGTTGCCGATACTCAAATTCAACTCTAATTGCTTCGATGTAAGATTGGTAGTAATCTAAAAGATAGAATATTATAATAATATAACCTAACCAAATCATTCATTATTTTTTTTTTAATTTTTTGTAATTCGCGACGGTAATGAAAGCTATAATAGTACTCAAACGGGTGCTGTAATGAGATTTTAGTAACATTTTATGGAACCAGTTCAAGTTGGTGACATTGGGTTACTAATTTTTCTAGTTGTCAATGTGACAATTTTTGTCAATGGATGTTTAAACACGTTCTTAGCATCGAATACAAGGTCCATAATGATGAGAACATTGAACTCTGAGCAATTTCTCTTATTTTGGGAGGTGTACATGAAACATTTTTGTCAGGTGAATACATTTTGTGTTTTGACAGTTTGTAATTGTCAATTCAAATTTCTATTTTCAAGTGTTACGGTGTAACCAACTACTATAGCTCATTTTTTTTCTATAATACCTGCCAAATTGTTTTAAAGTTGGCAAAATTAACAGGGAGTTTTGTTTTATCATGTTTTGAAATAAATATGTATGTCACACTGACGTTTGAACTTTCGTTATTCAAAAAGAAAAGGTGCATAAAAAATGTTGTGGGGTGTTTATTTGCCTAGAAAAAAAAAAATATGTACTTCGTTAAAATCGTATATCTAAAAATCTATTAGTATTTTAACCTCAACTATTTAGTTATTGAAAATGTTACTAAAAATCAGGAAAACAACATAAATTTTATAAGGGTCCTAGATAATACCAACAGAAACCCTAAAAAATGTACATTGACAAGTATTATAGAAAAAAACGAACTATACATACCTATTTCCCTACATTGTCAAAATTTATTTTAGTTTTGTTGAAAGAAAAGGATAAAAATGCGAATTACAAAAAATAGCATAAAAAACACGTTTCATAAGACTTAAAGCACTCATTCATTAAAAAACTCGTGTCTTACAAAACTTGTTTTTTAATATACTATTACATAATCGTATTAATCCTAGATGATCCTTTTTGTATTAGTAAAATGTTGTAAATATGATAGAATTCTTATTGTATTTAATCCATGTAACGTCATATTTAATTTCATTTTTCATTAATTTTTATTGTAATTCATGTTTGTCGGGTTAAAACTATTAAAAACGATAGTCTTAACATGTCAAGAACGAAAACCATCCATCATATGGGAGTTTTGATGAAGAATTGGACGAAAATCCGTGGATTAAATATTTGAATATATTTTTTAAGCTGGACGTTGAAATCTAAAAGAAAATGTTCCGAAATCAGCACAAATAAAGTTAAAGCAACAAAACTACAACATTTCATACATAAATATTGTTAAAATAGAAATTTCAATAATTTTTGATAAAATTTAATTGGTGACTTTTGACATTTCAAAGTTGGCAATGCTGGAAAAATTTAAATTACGAATTTCAAGTTGAAGAATTTAACCAATCAGAAGACGTTTTAGTGTGATTTAGAACGTGACGAGGAGTGCACGCAAATTTTGTTCAAACGTTCTGTCAATTACATTGTGACATAACCTCAAAAATAGTAAACTGATTATTTTAGTTGAATAAGAAGATTATTTGAATTACAATTATTCACCTTTAATAATAAACAAGAAAATTAACTGGTTCCTGATCCAATTAATCCAGTATACCATTCCGAAGAGTCAAAAATCTTTGTTACCGATTCCTTTTGAAGACTCCAAGTTTCCTTATCCGAGAACTTCAGTAATCTACAAGATAAGCTAAGTTATAATTTTCTATTACATTATTATTCGTTGTTTTTATTTTAATTTTCATTTCAAATTTCACTTACCTCAAATACGATTAATTTGAGTTATTATTTTGTTTGGTTATTTTATAGTATTAACTACAAGTTAAAAGATAATATTATTAATTATTTTACTGACAATGAGAGTTTTGTTAAAATTTAGATTTCTGACATTGGAAAAGTTTTTCTTCCTCTTGGATATTGTGAGGTGCTCAATTCTTTTTGGGAATGGTTGTCATATTTTTGGTTAGAAACTCATTTACCTTGCCTTTCAAGTATTATCTCATCTATCTAATTAGAGCAAGAATCCGTCTTCTTAATAGTTTAGTTGTCAAGGTTTTAATGTCCATCTCGATGTTTTTTAATCAAACAATAAGCAACCCAAATCATGACATATCATGTGCCATATCCGCTTCCTGCTGGACGTTACTTAGCAATAGAATCATCAGAAATCAGAAAAGGTTATACAAGATCAAATTAAATTATTTTAGTGAAAATAAATAACCGATATAATAATATTAGAATAATTTATTTATGGCAGTTATACAATATATTGATTTGGTATAAAAGTTATTACAAAGCGTCGTTTCGTTATACCCTTAAAAAATAAAGAAACGTAACGACATAGCTCCGCACGCGTTAATACAATTGTATATAAATAACATTTACTTTTTCATATTATTATTTACAGCGCCACAACTGAAGGAAGAAAAGTATTATTGTTATCATTATTTCTTCTTGACCAGATATACTCGTTAAAACTAAAATCGATTATTATCCATCATTTAAGCGTTAATTCACAATAAATACAATCTCGTATCATTTTCAATTTTTTTACCTTCTCGTTTTATACAAAAATTTACACATCAATAAATAAAATCGCTAACTCAAAAACGAAAGGATTAATTAATTAATTTTTTTAAGAAACACTTTCCGTCCCTAAATTACTTCCGTGGGTCATATTCGAGTCTAAACTGTTACAATCGGAATCGTTGGAATGTGGGCTCGAATAATTAGCGGCTTCTTGTAACCTCATCAGCATATTTAATAACGGATCACCGTCGTTTTCCGCAGTCGATTGTTGGCCCGATTCCAAACCGACGTCTTTCGCTGGAATTGATGTTAACCCTTGAGGGGGAGCTCCCGGCCATGGATAGGTATCCAAAACAAATTGGCAAGGGTCCGTCCAAGCGGCACGTCTTCCGTATAATTGTAAACCCTCTCGAGCGGCTTCTCTTAAATACGGCGCTAAAGAATAATTCCAAACATCCGCAAACCAAGCTCGTGCCGCATCCAATTCTAAAGGACAACTTAAAAATAATCTTGGACCAATAGCAACGTCTCCGGAACTGTGAGTTTCCAAGAAAGCGTTTAGATGTTGCCAAACTCGAGGTAGCCAACCCAAAATGGCTGCTAATTCCGGTTGGGGTCCTTGTTCTAACTCAAGACTTGCTAAACGTCGCCTTAAAACGCGCCCTAAAAGCCCACGGGCTGGCTCCATGTGAGGTGCTACAAGAACCCAACGGAAACCATGTTGAAGTTGAAGTGAAGTTGCCGAACACGCAGATTGCGCCATCGTTCCTAATAAACATGGAAGGTTTCTTGGTAAAGACCCTAAAGCATCCGCTAAAGGCCCCGCTTTATGTAAATTATCCAAAACAACCACGCACGGCAAAACGCTGTTATCACCAGCTGCTGCTTGTTCACTCAAATGAGCTAAATATTGTCGAAGTTCCTTTCCAGATTTATTATCAACACTAAAAAAAATAATTAATTTAATCCCATTCTATCAATTTTTTTTATTTCTTACTTAAAAGTTGCAACTGCTTCAACGGGATCTCTTCCAAGACTTTGAGCATGAAACTCAGCTAATCGCGTTGCCAAATGAGTTTTACCCGTCCCTGGGGCGCCACATAAAACAATCCTTCGATGTTCGCTTAACAAAGAAACTAATCGTTGTGCAACTCCTTTAGGAATTAAAGCTTCAAAAGCGAATGCCGCGACGGGTTGAAGAACTATATGCAACGTCATAACTCTCCCGACAACGTAACCAACCGGGAGTAAATCCGGCGGATTAGAATCAAAAATTCGATCGGCTTCTCCCAATTTATAACTTGAAATTGCATCAATGCCCAATCCGAGTCCTCCCCCGGGATCTAATCGCGAAATGTGTTGCTTAAAAGCTCTTCTAACTGCCCCATCGATTTGATTCCAAGTGGTTGCCGCTCCAACGCTTGTATGAGCGATCGCGATTTCTCCAGTTGCATTTGAACCGTCTCTATCATTTTCGTAGTGCTCGATAAAATAACGTTCGAAGGTTTGAGGTTGACCTAAATAAACGGAGATTACGATTCTTTTTCCATCCGGTTCGACTTCCGGCGGTGGTTCATCCGCCGGGATCATTTCGGTTAGATGATCTAAACTTCGACTTTCGTGTAAATCCGGCGGAAGATTTGTGCCGTTTGATATTGTCCCGCTTACCATTCTTTGAAGGCGTTCGTTATTTTGTTTTAAACTTAACATTTCGCTCTAAAAGATAAAATAATTTAAATTAAATTCAAATTTAAAATGAAATAAATTTACCCTCATTTTCATAACTGTATCCTTTAAACTTTCAAGTTGATGGGCAGAACTTAAAGCTTCCAATCTGATATCGGTTAAAACCAAATCTTTTTCGCGTAATTGTTTTTGTAGCTCGGCAACTTCCGCTCCCGTATCCATTGGGGCTGGTGGGGGTGGGCTTTGTTGGCGCTCGTTTTCTTCGCTTTGGCACTGAACTTTGGTTACTTTTGCGTTGCGGGAGAACGCTTTTGTAAAGGAACTTCTTAACTGGTTTAAGAAATTAAAAATTATTTTGAATAAATATTGTTTAAAATGAAGTTTTTACCCATCCTTTCTTCTTTTTCTTTTCCTGTTTATCTAAACTGCACGCCGACGATAAACTTGAGACACTATCCGAAGATGGTTGTCTAGCTAAACCGGTACCGATCCCGGCTTGTAATGATTGTACCCGTAAGGATTCCATTGCGGCTCTTAACTCAGTTAGTTCGCTATCTTTTTTCTCGGAGGTAGCTGTTAGATGCTGTAATCTTTGGGTCATTGATGAGAGGCTTTGTTCAAAAGCCGCTACTACATGAGCCTAAAAATAAAAGAAAATTAAGTAACAGAAAATAAAATTAAGTTCGTTCACCCCAACGTTTTTATTTGCACACACAGTACAGTTAAAAACGGTTAGAAAGAAAATTAACATCAAGGCGAAAAGAAAAGAGCCTTGTTTTCATACCGGTTATGGCATGATCTAACGAGAAGAATCCATTCTTTCAATGGTGGTAACAAGAAACGAGAACGAGAAAAAAGAAAGAAATAAAAAAGCTAACTCGCAAAAGAAAAACCCAACAAAAACAGGAAAAAAAAATTGGAAAAAAAAGAAGAAAAAGGAAACGTACAAGACCAATTTATTATAACTGTTCTTGATGCCATAAGTGGCGAAGAAATGCGAACGGTGCAATCAACATAACTTCTGCGTAGTAAAACGTAACCAAAGTTTTACTTTGTCGGCATTTCAAGATTGATTTTAAATCATTTTTAGTTACGAAAAAAATCTAGTTATTTTTAGGTCAAGTTGCAATGCGTAATATATAGTAGAGATGATAATAAATAAACAAGAATACTCGAGACTCATTGACCCCCGCGAGTTAAATAGTCCTAAATTGACTCCATTAAGCACTTGAAACCGGAATTTTTAGAAAACGATCTTTCAATTTTAAACTATAAATCTACTTTCATTTGAACAAATTGCAATCAGTGTTTGCATTTAAAATGGTATTATAATAAAAATAACGTTTAAATAAACAAGTAAATCTTAAATTAATAAAAAATATCATGGGTTATTGTCTAAATTGGCAGAAAATGGTGGTAAACATTTTGCGAACTTGTCTAAATGTATTTGATGTTACATAAAATTGTCTAAATTCACCTAATGTTGACTATACATTATTATTTCATTGTTAGAAATGTTGGATAGATCGTTTGACATCGTCTAAATGCATTCAATATTATGCGTTCGTGTCTAAATTGACAGAAAGTGATAGAAAAGACCTAAATGAACGTTGGATGTTATTATATCATTATCGAAAATCTTGGAATCATTCTTTGAAATCGTCTAAATGTTTTTAATATCATATAGAATTGTCTAGATTTGCAGTAAACATCAGAAAAATCTTTAGAAATTGTCTAAATATTGGAAAGATATTTTAAAGTTGTCTAAGTGCATTTAAAGTCATATACAATTCTCTGCATCAGCAGAAAATTGTTTTGAAATTGGTCAAATGCCTTTAATATCACATACAATATCGAAATTAGCAGAAAGTCTTCGAAAACTTATTTTGAAATTGTCTAAATTCACCTAACGTTGATTATACATTATTATTTCATTGCCAAAAATGTTGGATAGATCGTTTGACATCGTCTAAAAACATTCAGTATTATGCGCTAGTGTCTAAATTGACAGAAAGTGATAGAAAAGACCTAAATGTACTTGGTATCATGTAAAAAAGTCTCAACTGGTTTTAAAAATACGTTGGATGTTATTATATCATTATCTAAAATCTTGGAATCATCCTTTGAAATCGTCTAAATGCTTTTAATATCATATACAATTGTCTAGATTTGCAGTAAACATGTTGGAAAGATATTTTAAAGTTGTCTAAATGCATTTAATGTCATGTACAATTCAGCAGATAGTGGCAAAATTATAATTTTGCAATTTAAAACGTCATTATTTAACGATGATTGAAAATTATCTTCGATTTCCATTTATTAATTCTAATCTTTTAAGAAAAATAAAAAAAGTTTTCGTGCGTAGTTAATAATTAGAAACTTATTATCGATAATAACTGATAATTTAAAACGCAGCTGATGTTTTTTCGTTATTACATAACCAATTTATTCTACTAATTACACAGTCAAATAGATCCTGTTTTGGATCATCAACAAAGTTAATCACACGCGAAACCAATTTTTTTGTTTAATTTTTTTTTATTGTTCGAAATGAATGACCTACTTTTTAATAAAGGGAAAAAAACTAAGCGAGTAATAATCTAATTTAACTTTTATAAGGTATCTTTTATAAACCAATTAAAAAAATTACGTTTAGATCCAAACTGGAGCACGATAGATGTCGACTTCTTCTCGTAGCTAACTCGTACCACGGAATCGCCGGTTTATTCATCCGGTAAATATCGCTTGCGATCCGGGGATCTTCAGGAACTGAGGCTAAAGATGGTGGCCGAGGGGTTGATCTTGGCGGACCAACCCTCGGCCTGCGAATCGTCGCAAAACCATCATAAACCGTCGAACATGGCATTTTATTTTTAAATTAATTTATTTGTTTCATTTTTTTTATTCTTCCCATTATATCTCTAAGATCGAAATAACCAAATAAGGAATTACTTCCTAATAAAGACTTCTTAGGAGGTGCGGTACTTCCAGTTCACATGGGTTCAAATATCGAAACCATATGCACACAGTGGTTTTGAGGCCACTTCCTTTCGGATGCACTTAAACTTTGATCATTAATTTTTTTTTTTGAGTAATAATTCGTTATCATCCGAAAAAATGAATTAAAATAAATATTAAAGTGTTTTAAATGGTAGTAAAAATTAATGTCTCGAAGATAAATTTTGAAAATGAATGGAATTTGTTGATCTAGTTTTTTTTTTTGAAATAGAATTTAAGATTTCCGGTGGTTTACATCCTGTTTCTTTTTTTTTTATTGAAACATTGCAGCTGCAATGTTGAAATACTATTTTAAAAATATAATTATTACTTAATTATTTAATTCCTTTATCTTATCTGACTTCAAATTGATAACAAGTCATTTTAAGATAATAATTTCTATGAAATTTATTAAATTTATTGTTACTAAAATTAATCAATATTAGTTCAACAACCCCTATTTTAATCCATTATTAATTAAAAGTACCACACCTACTAAATTATCCCCCTAAAAATACATTAATCACATTTCCATTAAGGATATTAAAGAGTTGAATTTGTCCAAATTTGTTTTTTCCTCACTTTTTTTTAAATTTTAATTTAACACCCACTTTAATTCACCAATATTATTAATTAATATAACGTTTACGATTTTCTAAACAAATAGGATTATGAAAACAAACGTTCCGTTCGATGTCCGAGTTAAAACTAAACGGATCGACTTGAGTTTGTACGGTTTATCTGGAGTTGGAGTGGCGCACAATGCGCTACTATTCGAAGCGCACATGTGTTTGCAATTTATTTTTTCTTTCTTGTCCGTTGTTATTTAAGTGGAGGATTACGAATAAACGAGATGAGTAATTTGAGTTGTTTGTTAATAGTTGAGTAGGTGTTTTAAGTTAAGTTTTTTTAACTTACATTTGTACTAAGTTGAGATGTTAATGTTTGAACTTTTTCTTGCGCCTCCATTAATTCCCTTCGCAATTTTCTGATTTCGTGAGCGTGTTTTTCTTCGGCCGAAGAATATAAACTGGAAGCGGTTGACACCAAACTTATTGAAGAACCGTGTACTAAATAAAAAAGAATTACATTAAAAAATCAATGTGATGAGCAAGTAATTAACAAATTTAAAGGATAAAAGAAGATGATTCTATTTCATGCACTATGTATATACAGGGTGTATCTGAATGACATGCCCAAACTTCAGGGGGTGATTCTTTAGGCAATTTTAAGGGTACTTTCATATATAAACCATGGGCGACTTGGGCTCCCCTAAGGAGCTACACCCCTCCAAAAATGGCGGAAAATTTTGGTTTAATTTTTTTTTCTCAATAACCATAAACGCTAGGACAACGAAATTTGGGGAATATGTTTAACTGGTAGTAGGGCACGTTTTCACCCTATTTGGACTTTCAACCTATCCTTCTAAACTACTAAACGTAACCACCCCCTTTATATTTTTGCTAAAAATTTTTAATACAGAGGGTAAATACATTAAAAAAAATGTTACATAGGTAGATGAAAGTATCCTAAAACTTTTTTGTCTCTCTAAAATTTTTCCAAAAACAAAAATAATAAAGTAAACACTGCCCGTTCAACAACGGGGTTGTCGATCAAAATTGGAATGAATTTTTAATGAAAAAATCTTAGTAGGCTTTGCACCCTTTGTCAGAAATATTTTTGACGTTTAAATGTCAGTGGTTTTCTTACTAATATTGTTTTTCAAATTATTTTATGAATAAAGTTCTACCGCATTTACGCTCGTTCACTCGACGTTTCAAAATGTTAAATAAAACAATAATAATAGTAAGAAAACCACTGACATTTAAACGTCAAAAATATTTCTGACAAAGATTGCTAAGCCTGCTAAGATTTTTTCTTTAAAAATTCATTCCAACTTTCGATTAACAACGCTACAGCTTAACAGTTAGTGTTTGCTTAATTAATTTTTTTCTCAGAAACTATTAACTTTTCGAAGAACATCAGAGAGGCAAAAAAGTTTTAGAATATTTTCGTCTATCTAAATAAAATATTTAAAATGTATTTATCATCGTCATAAAAAAGATCTAGACAAAAATTGAACGAGGGTGGTTATGTTTAGTAACTTAGAAGGGAAGATTGAAAGTACAAATAGGCTCGAAAGATGCCCTATTATAAGCTAAACATATTTCCCAAATTTCATTTTCTTGGTGTTAATAGTTTTCGGGAAAAATAAATTAAACCAAAATTTGTCGCCATTTTAGAAGGGGCGTAGCTCCGCAGGGGAGTCGAAATCGCTGATAGTTTATATGAGAAAGTACCCTTAAAATTGCCTAAAGAATCACCCCTGAAGTTTGGGCACGTCATTCAAATACACCCTGTATATATCTTCTTTGCAGATTTACACACTTTTTCTTTTCAGCCAATGTATTTCCTAAATTTTTTATGATATTTCTAAAATATCAAAAATGTTTTCGAGAATTGGCAGGCTTCAAGATAATTTTAGACATTTTTGAAATATCTGGCATGTGGTCATTGTAATACCAAACTTGTTTTTGTGCGTTGGAGGCTGATCAAGATGATTTTAGAAATTTTGGTGTAGTTTAAAATCAGTCAGAATAATTGTGTGGTCAATAAAGTGTGTGGTCAATGCAATTCCAAAGTTGTCAATCTTGTTTTTGAGGGTTAGAGGCCGACGAAAGCAATTTTAGTTCAATTTTAAATCTTATTATTATTGCTGCCGGGCTGAGGAGGGCGGCCCCTCTCGTTAACGCGACCTATAAGATCTATTGTAACTTTAGCCCTCCAAAGGTTTAGGGCAAATGTAGGTCCTTAATGAACCTTAGTATTGTCCTGAGGTCTTGAACCTTTATGTCGGTAGGTAACAGGGGAGTTTTACCGAAGACGTTGTGCCTTAGACGTCCTCTGGCGACGCAATTGCACAGTATATGTTCAGCAGTTTCTGACTCGTCGTTGCATAGTCGACAAGTTTGATCCTCAGCTTGTCCAATGTGGAAGAGGTGGTATTTTAGGGGCACATGGCCGGTTAGGTAGCCTGAGAGCGTTCTTAGATCCCCTTTGCTGAGGCATAAAACCTCTTTGGTTTTGTTTTGCGACGGAGTTATCATACTCTTCGCTTGTCTGTGACCTGGAAGTTCTTTCCAGCGTAAGGCTATCTTTGAAGCCTCCCAGTTGTTGATTATTTGTTTTAGGTGGCTTTTTTGTAGTCCACATCCAGGTTGGGGTCCAATGAAGGGCGTGTTTGCTGCCTCTTTGGCCAGCTTGTCGGCCTTCTCATTGCCCTCAATGTTGCTGTGACCTGGAACCCACCATAGGGTAACATCATTGCCCCTAGCGAGTTCTCTCAGGTTGTTGGTGCACTCTCTGATCAGTGCGGAGCCACACGTGTAGGCCTGAATTGCCTTTAAGGCGGCCCGACTGTCTGTGAAAATGTTTATGGATGCACCTTTTTGTCCCTTCTGTAGGTTCAAAGCGGTGCAGAAGTTTATAGCAAGAACTTCTGCTTGGAAAATTGTTAAGTCCGAGCTGAGGGGCAATTTGATGTGGCTATTTGGTCCACTGATGCCCATGCCTACTCCAGATCTTACTGTCTTTGAAGCATCGGTGTACCAGGCTAGGGCTCCTCTTTTTAGTTGAGGCCCTCCTTTCGCCCAATCATCCCTGCTACTAAATATGACCTTATACGGTTGGTTGAAATTGTATTCCGTCGGTATAAGGTCCGTTTTAATTTCAATCAGGTGATTTAGACATGGGTCTTTGAGGATCTCGAGGATTACCCTGCATCAACTTGAGTGAAGAAACTGTTTTCAGTGATAAGGCATTTAAGGCTGCCTCCTTTTGTATATATATGTGGAGCGATGTGAGACCAAGTAGGGCTTCCAAAGCAGCCGTCGGACAGGATCTCATTGCACCCGTTATGTTAAGACATGCTAACCGCTGGATTTGTGCCAGCTGTTGTTGAGCTGTCTTATGTTTTGTTTTTGGCCACCAAACCAATGAGGCGTAGGCGACCATGGGTGTGATTATTGCTACGTAGGCCCAATGAGCCATTCGTGGTTTGAGACCGCAGTTCCTTCCTAGGAGCCTGCGGCAGATCTGGTTTGCCATGATGGCCTTTTTCCTCACCTTATCTAAGTGTGAGTTCCAGTTTAGTTTACTATCAAGTATTACCCCTAGGTATTTAGTTTCTGTTTTGAGGTTAATAGTTCTGCTTTCAATGGAGGGTGCTTTTATTTGTAGCATTTTAAATCTTACTAAAGTCTCAAATTTTGCCAGTCATTCCAGACTTATTCTTGCAGCATAGTGCAATTCAAAACAGTTTCTGAAACTATGGCGATTTTCCAGTGGATTTATAAAACTCGATTTGCCACCAAGAATCTTGTCAGAATAATATCTTTGAGTTTGGAATTAAGTTGCTGCAATTTTTGACATTTTCGTGTAATTTCGAGCTTCACCAAACTAATTCTGCTACAATTGTCTTTGACTCTGAAGATTAATCAGGAGTATGGATGTAATTCCAGAATTTTTTTGTTGTTTGAAACTCAATTAATGTCATTGTTGAAATTTTTTTAGATGAGATTTTTCTGTATAGTGTCTGGTTGTTGTAATTCAAGATTGCTTATGAATTCTAGAGTGTTATTCTACACTGCTCCTTGCGGTCTAAAATGTTATCACGGTTCTAAATAAAATATGCTGCTTTGTTGAGGATTAGTACTATCTATTTTGGCAAGATTGAACCAGGTAAACGATCTTGGCTAAACATAGTGAAGAGAATCTATGACCTGAATCTTTTCATCTCTTAGTGAGAACGAAAATTAATAAAATTAATTTTTTTACCATCATCATTCTTAGGAATACTATGTCTTGGTGTCGAATGAGTTGGTGATAAAGGAAAAGTACGAGCAGTTCCTGGAGCAGGACTGGTTGGTTGTGACCAATGATTCAAAACGGCCCCAACAGGTAAACAATAATAAGGTTCCGTTTCTTGTTCGGTGTTCCTATGCAACATCGAAGGATACAATTTTTCGGATTTCGTCGATCTGGAAAAGCACAAACAAATGTGTTATTGAAATTAAACTAAAAAATATTTTATGAAAAGAATAATAATAATAAATCCGACACTTAAAGCTTAATTTAATACGATAACATTAATATTTAATGTGATTTTATTTTATGAATGTGATGAAGCATAAAAACGAAGCAAAAACTTTGAAGATGTTGTATACCTTGGAAACGTCCGTTCTCTGAGATAGCTAAGTTCCAAATTAATTTTTAAACCACCCTTTTAATTTTGTTTTCATGTTTCCAACCTTACCTAATACTGTTACTTCTACTCAATCGCGACGGGGAATCTCTTAAAAGTCTTGTGTGAGTTAAACTACCACGATGACCAGGAAGACTTGAAAGACTCTCCATGCTATCAGTTTCAGATAATCTTGGAGCAACCGAATAAGTGTTGCTAAAAAAATTTCTAATTATTTTATTTTCGGTTTAAATAATTAATTTTGTAACCTGTGTCTTAACCATGGAGCGTAAGGACTCGTATTTTCAATAGCTTGAGTATCAGATAAAGAACCATCGCTGGCTTTTGGTCGAACTTGTCTCATTACGAGTCCATATTCTTGCCCTGCTCCTTTTGGTAACGATTGGGAACCATGCATCATTAATCGCTCTCTCACAGATTGACTTAGTTGGGTCGCCGTGTTACCAGTCAAAGAAAAACTTTTAAATTGTGGATTTTCTAAAACAAATTATTAATTATTTCATCAATTATTATTTTGTAAATTAATTGCTTAAAACGTTTTAATTTCATATAAAAATGTACAAATCAAATCGTATATAAGCAGTTCAATTTAAAACATTCCTCAGTCACAAAATCACCGTCAATAATGGACATAGTTTGTAAACCCATCGATACATTGGAAGAACTTTTCGAAACCATAAAAAATCCACCTCAATGGATAAATCGAATAAATCAATTAACTCAACCGCCACCATTCGTCATTAAAAATACTTTTTACGATTGTCACGTTTCTGAAAACGATTACGAACCAAAAACGCGAATCACCAGAAATGAAACTCCGAAGACTTTGATTTGTCACGATATGAAAGGGGGATATCTTTGCGATAAATTCATCGATGGTTGTCACGAAGGGAACGGATTCACGTTTCACCGTTGGGCGCAAACGGATATTTTTTGTTATTTTAGTCATCATTTCGTAACAATACCACCCCTGCAATGGATAAATTTGGCGCATAAAAATGGAACTTTAGTTCTGGGAACGATTATAACCGAACATGAGAAGGGTAAAGAGATTTGCAAAAAAATCTTCAACGATTTTGAAGTTGCCAAAAAATTTGCTGATGCTCTAATTGAAGTTTGTGTTATTTATAAATTCGATGGGTGGTTATTAAATTTTGAAAATCAAATAAGTTGCCCTAAAATCTTGTTGCAATTTGTGGAGTATTTAAGTTTTAAAATTCACCGAGAAATCCCATCGAGTCAAATTATTTGGTACGATTCCGTTTTGTACAACGGAAAATTATCGTGGCAAAACGAATTAAACGAGAATAATCGGTGTTTCTTCGATTGTTGCGATGGTATATTTTTAAATTATTTCTGGAACGAGGAAAAAATTGCAAAAACTCAAATCCAAGCTGGAGATAGACGTTTTGACGTTTACGTCGGTATCGATATTTGGGGACGAGGTACTTATGGCGGTGGCCAATTTCAAGCTTATAAAGCAGCAGATATTATTCAACAATTTGGGTTATCAACAGCAATTTTCGCTCACGGTTGGGTTCATGAAAAAACCATAGAAATCCCCGAACACGATTTCCTAAATCGATACTATTCAAGAGATAGTTTATTTTGGAAACTTTTATGGCCTTATTTATACACAAAACCAATACAACAACCTTTCACAACGTTTTTCAAAACAGGGGTGAATTCGAATTGTTATGATTTAAACTCCCAACAAATCCAACCGACTTATTTCCCAGCCCACGCTTTAACTATCGAAACGATGCACTTAACGGTTGCAAGAGAAGTTTGCAGATGCGTTCAAGAACGTTTAATTTCCGACGAAAGAATGTTATTAATTTCTAGTCATCATTTACACGAAAAAAACGTAATCCACCGTTTATTTTCGATGAATTTAAAACTTAAAATTAACACAGTGATAGACATTTATACTTATCGCGTCGAAGATCATTTCACCGATTTCGCAATTGTTCTTTTGATGGTGGATGAGGAAAATAAAAAAGTTAAATGCGTCGCGAATTCAAAAACGATCACAACGTTTGAAAGAAAAATTAGTAGAATTAGTAATATTATTAAACCGGAAATTTATTATAAAAATAAAGACGAAGAATTTGATGAAAATCGTCAAGAAGATCGAAATGAAAATCGCACAAACGAAGGAGTTAAACAATACGATCGAAGAAGATTTGTTTTTACATATCCAGAACATGAACTTTTAGAGGTTGGAATTAAGCTGTTAGATGGTAGTTATTTATATTTATCTGGGTTTTCCATTCAAACCAATTAAATAAAATTAAACTCATTAAGCACCAATTCTTGTCCCGAGATATCTCAGGCCTGGTCTTTAAGGGGTTAAACATAAAATTATTAATTGTTGTTTTGTTGTTTATTTTAATATAATAAACACTTAGGTTTTTTTAATTGATTTGATTTTTAACAAAACGTTTCTTTTACGCTTCGGAACGAATTAAAACGACTCATAACTAACTTTACTTTTATTGAACTAAAATTAGAACTAACACTAGACCTAGAACTAGAAATTTTCGAATTTTGAAATTTTCGCCGATTAAGTTTTAAAAATTCGTATAAAATCGATTTCTTGGAATATGAGTATGAAAATTTCCCAAAATGTTAATAAAAGTGTCCTCTTTCCAATGAACTAACCCGTTTTGAAAAATAGCTTTTAGTTTTTGAGAAAACAATATTTGAAGATTTGATAAAATTTTCGATGTTGCAATTTTCATCGATAACTTGCAAAATTCGCTATAAAATTCATTTCTTGAAGGATCCTTGTGGAAATATCACCAATTATTAATTAAAGTGTCCTCTTTTTAATGCAAAAAGCCGTTTTGAAAAATCACTTTCAGTTCTTGAGAAATAAATTTTTGAAATAATCGACAATTTTTTCGAATTTTGCAATTTTCGCCGATTAAGTTTTAAAAATTCGTATAAAATCCATTTCTTGGAATATGAGTATGAAAATTTCCCAAAGTGTTAATAAAAGTGTCCTCTTTCCAATGAACCAACCCGTTTTGAAAAATAACTTTTAGTTTTTGAGAAAACAATATTTGAAGTTTTGATAAAATTTTCGATGTTGCAATTTTCATCGATAATTTTCAAAATTCGCTATAAAATTAATTTCTTGAAGGATCCTTGTGGAAATATCACCAATTATTAATTAAAGTATCCTCTTTTTAATGCAAAAAGCCGTTTTGAAAAATCACTTTTAGTTCTTGAGAAATAAATTTTTGAAATAATCGACAATTTTTTCGAATTTTGCAATTTTCGCCGATTAAGTTTTAAAAATTCGTATAAAATCCATTTCTTGGAATATGAGTATGAAAATTTCCCAAAGTGTTAATAAAAGTGTCCTCTTTCCAATGAACCAACCCGTTTTGAAAAATAACTTTTAGTTTTTGAGAAAACAATATTTGAAGTTTTGATAAAATTTTCGATGTTGCAATTTTCATCGATAATTTTCAAAATTCGCTATAAAATTAATTTCTTGAAGGATCCTTGTGGAAATATCACCAATTATTAATTAAAGTATCCTCTTTTTAATGCAAAAAGCCGTTTTGAAAAATCACTTTTAGTTCTTGAGAAATAAATTTTTGAAATAATCGACAATTTTTTCGAATTTTGCAATTTTCGCCGATTAAGTTTTAAAAATTCGTATAAAATCCATTTCTTGGAATATGAGTATGAAAATTTCCCAAAGTGTTAATAAAAGTGTCCTCTTTCCAATGAACCAACCCGTTTTGAAAAATAACTTTTAGTTTTTGAGAAAACAATATTTGAAGTTTTGATAAAATTTTCGATGTTGCAATTTTCATCGATAATTTTCAAAATTCGCTATAAAATTAATTTCTTGAAGGATCCTTGTGGAAATATCACCAATTATTAATTAAAGTATCCTCTTTTTAATGCAAAAAGCCGTTTTGAAAAATCACTTTTAGTTCTTGAGAAATAAATTTTTGAAATAATCGACAATTTTTTCGAATTTTGCAATTTTCGCCGATTAAGTTTTAAAAATTCGTATAAAATCCATTTCTTGGAATATGAGTATGAAAATTTCCCAAAGTGTTAATAAAAGTGTCCTCTTTCCAATGAACCAACCCGTTTTGAAAAATAACTTTTAGTTTTTGAAAAAATAATATTTGAAGTTTTGATAAAATTTTCGATGTTGTAATTCATTCGGGTTTAGCCGTCTTGAGATAAGTGCGGCTAAATCCGATTGTTTCTAGTTCTAGGTCTAATGTTAGTTCTAGTGACAGTGATAAGTAGAGCTAGTTAGCATAAGATATCACAATGTTGCATATTTTTATTGCCCTAAAACTTAGAAGTAACACATTCGAAACATTCGGGTTTAACGAATTATGAAATTCCTGGTATATTTAACTTACTATGAGGTTGCAAGTCACTTGAACAAGTTTGAGTTCCTCCGGAAACCTTAACTTTCGTTCTTGGAACAGCGGAAACTTGCGCGGTTTTCCCCGATTGTTGAAGACCTAAAATCAAAAATGATTATAGGAATTGGTTCTAACATGTTTAATTTAATTTAATGTCAAAAAAAAATACAAAAAAGATTTCGTACCAGATCCAGTTTGTGTCGTTCCATTCGCAGTACCATTACTACTTCCACTTCTTTTAACATAAGCAAAACTCTGTGGGACGCCCCTGACCTTTGACGAGTTTTTGTCCTTGTTGGCGCCGTGAGGGCTGCTTTTACGTTCTCTGCGCGAACTTCCGGGGCTTGACGGAGCGGGCGGAGGGGGCGGGGGTGGACTTCCAACACCAGGACTGTCCGTATACCGTTTCCATTGTCCACATTGGCCGTTTTGATTTCGTGATGAACGAGAAGACCCGGAGGAACGAGGTCCAACTCCGGGTGGTGTCGGGGGCGGCTGTTGAGGTTCCTCTAACCGCCCCCGACGCGTACCCTGTTCTGTTAGCACCGCGAGGCCGTGATTAATTCTAGTATGCGATCTAAAACGAAATAAATTTAAATCAACAAGTATTAAAGAGACAAAAATTTAAATGTACAGAATAAGATGTAATAAGTGGGGGTAAGGAAGTAAAATGGGGTGTTCCTTACTGGGTTTGTTTTTCGTTGTGGAAACGTTGATGATGGTGGTTTTAAAATTCATCACAGCACGACACGATTTTTTTTTATTTCGTCACCTCGATGGGGTTTGTAACGGGAATGAACGCGAGACAAAGAAATTCTTTTTGGAAATTCGCGACAGCTACCCTCTCGTCTGGACGGCACGTAGACGTCTGTTTGGACGGCGGGCGCTCGTCCGAATCGATCGAGGGGCGCATGTTCACTCCGCGAAGCTCCGGGGGATAGATTTAATTCCACCTCAACATTTCTAAATTAATAATTATTTTACAAAAATAATTTCCTCCCAAAATAATCCCTTTAAATTTATCGAGAATTTTCTTAAAATATTCCTAGTCGGCTACAAAATTACAATTCCCCTAATAATTTTAGATAGCTTGGCTAAAAGCTCAAGTGGTTTTAAGTGAATTGGTCGGATGTAAACACAATTTCTAGACGGTGTGGGACTCCGGGGAGGATGATTCACATCGAAACGTGACCGTTCTGGCGTGAATGTGTGCGTAGAGGTTTCTGTTTGTTTGGTGCGCGCGATAAGGACGCGTTTTTGAGCTTCTCCCAGTTTTTGTTCAAACGGGTGTATTTACTTAGCGGTTTAAAATTGGGAATGTTAGTTTTTCTTTTTCTCTCGGTTTAACGGGAAAACAACAAACAAGAATTTATTTATAGAAAAGGAATTAAGACCGTTTATTTCAATTAAAACCTATCAATTAATTACTTACGTATTTTGTGGAATTGTTTGTAATCTTCGGACGTAAAGTGCACTTCCACCTTCGGACATGTATCCGTCGCAAACATCTCTGTTAATAGGATTCCGAAGAATTTCACCATCGGAAAGATAACCGTTAGCTAAAGAAATTTCACAATAATCTGCACTACCATCAGGTTGTACTCTTGGGTAATGTCTTGGTCTTGAAGGTAAAGTTAAAGTGCTGCAATATTCGCGAAATAATGGTCTCATTGGTTCGACGTTTAATGTCGATGGTTCTTCTTCGTGCGATCCCAACAAAGAACTGTTAATATTAATGATATTTATTGGTTTGTGATCTTTACGATCTTTATGATATGTTAGATGAGGTGGTGATATTTTCGATGATATGTTTTCTTGATATGATGGGTAATTAATGTCTTCAAAAATATCGTCTTTTTCTATTTTGTCATCTTTTTTCTTTTCAAATTCATCAAATTCTTCTTTAATATTATCGATTTCTTTAGGAAATTTATCGCCATTTTCAATGGGATGTTCCATTTTAATTGGTGACACCATAGCTACTGTGGGTCTAGAGATACTCGCTTGGGAACTTTCTCTAGAAACCATTGGCGTTTTTGGTTTGCTGGTTCCTTTAATGGCAGCCGTGGGTTTTGGAATTCCGGTGTTGGGAGAAGTCGAACCGTTTTTATCTTTACTTTGGTTCAATCGTGTTTTTGGTTCGGCCAATTTCGAATTTAAACTGGCCACCTTATTCGCGTGCCGTTCAACCTCTTGACTCGTCTTAATCACCTTAATTCCTCCGTTAACCATCTCTTTCTTATTCGCATTCGGGCTATTTTTCAAATTAACCCCTGGTTTCACCCCTCGTTGTTGCTTCACTTTCGGATTATTCCTATTCGTTTTCAAATCAATATTCGGTTCTATACTTGTGCTGCTGTCTGATTTTTCACTCCTCGCGGAAGAAACCCCACTGGAACTACTTGTTCTTTTCCCGTTACTCGTCGGAGTGGTTCGTTCGTTCGTTGGGGATTTGAAAAGTTTTAAGAGAGAGTGTTGTTGTTGTTGATTTTTGGGTTGTTGATAGGGACTGTTGTTTGGAGCGGGAGGACCTCGAGGAATCATAGAAAGAGCTGGACTTGAAGCCCTGCTCGAACTTGCAACAGGGCGAACTTTGTCTGGTGGACATTTTCTCGATGGCAACGCTGATCCAGGAAGAGGAATGCTACTTCCACCTTTATGGGGTATCGATGTCGATCTGAAAATAAAAAATTGAATTAAAAGATCTATTTTTGGAACTAAAATGATTTTTTTTTTTTTGGAAAAGATTTAAAACCTGCGAACTTCTGGCGAGTTCGGGAGACTTCTGCATTTCCTGCTGGTGGCCGTCGAAGAATGGTTGCCCATAGCAACGCAACGAATACCGAGTCACGTGTCGCGTGCCGAGAGCGACCTCTCCCCGAACGCGCCCCGAACCCAACTAAAGAACACAATGCCCTTGGTGCAGAACGAACCGAACCGGCGTAACTCGTGCGGGAGAGTCTCCTCCGCGGACGACAACGTCTGGACCCCTCAGATGCGGGGGCCCCCACCCGAACAACACATCAAAAACTGCAGCATCGGAACGGTGAACTAAACTTAATCGTTCTTTTCATTTTGATACAGTAAATTCTTTCTATGAATCGTATTTCTTGATTATACTTCGAAAACTATCTCTATTTCATGTGACGCACTGTAGAGTTGAGTTTCGTACCACCGTCGTCGTAATCATAATTTGTGTTCCCCCGGGATAGATAAATAACCCCCTACTCGCCCCCGCTTAACCCCGGTTCGATGCCGTTTCGCCCCCTCTTCAGCCCTCTCGAACCCTCCACTTTACAACCTGGAGTAGAAACCGCTCAAATTCAAAAGTCCTGGATCGTTGAACCGGTAAATTCGCACCGTCCCTTGAATTACGACCGCGGCTTTTCGATGGGATTTATGCGTTCGTTGGTATTACGAAGTTTCGCAAATGTACTTGAGAGAACGGAAACGCTACGACCACTTTATATCACTTTTGTAGTGGTATTTTTTAAGTTAAGCTTTCTTTAAAAAAAATATATGGAGAAAGATTTAAATGTGATAAAGGGGATTGTAAGTTTTAGTTTGCTTTTTGATAAATACAGTGAATTTTACTTAAGATATACCAAAACATATTTCCATGGAAACCAGAAGATATTCCTATATCTATATATATATAACCACCTATATCCACCAATAAAAGTAATAGGTGAAAAAAAATCTATGAAATTTCCAGTTTGTACCTGATTTCGCAATCCTTGCTTAGTATTAACTTCCTCAGTATTCACTTCCTCAGCTGCAATGTTAAATGCCTGTGTTAATCACTATATGCCATCCTCAGTATCAGCCAAGAAGACGGCATCATCTGCGTAACATTCAATCTTGATTTTGTAATCATTCATAGTCTAACCATAGCTTACATTACATCATCGAGGTCTTATATATAATCTAGAGAGCCTATGTGGTGGTGGTGGGGGTAATCAGAAAGTCAGACATGTTGGATGTACCGACCTGAACTTAGCTATAGTTTCAAGTCTCTATTGTACCTACAATTATAACCTCACAATTCTCATCAACATATTGTTATTTTTATTAAAATTTGATTTTTGTTGAAAGTTTTCGAATTCTTTTCGTTTCACATATGTTTTTTATAATTTGATAGGTTGCACGATTATTTACAACAGTTCATAAAATGTTTCTGGTTACTTGACTTGGAATTAACAATTAAAGACCTCGGTATAAGAAGGGGACAACTCCTTCTCTTGATAAATGGAGCTACTCCCTTCTTGCAGCAAGGTCTTCAATTGAAGTTCAAGTAAAGTTTATTATTAAGGACTGTTCAGTTTTTTTTTAAATAAACTAACAATTATTTATAAGCAAAGGTTAACGTGATCAATCGGAATTGCTTTAAATATTTTCTTCTTAGTTTTTGTTAATTATAAGGGTTATGGCTAAAAATTATTAAGTTCTTTTAAAATATCATATAATTAATAATTATTTATCAATAAAAAATTAATGTTTTGTTTTGGTCATTATTTTCTGTCTTTCCAGTTTATAATAATGTAAATTCTTGCATAAGTCTATATAAGAATTTCGAATTTCCCGCTAAGTTGGTACATCTAACATGGCGACCTTTCTGGCTTCATTTTAGGCGTGATGGGGACAACAGCATACGCACTCTAGATTATATATAAGACCTCAATGCATTACATACTTTGTAGTGTTTGCCCTGTAATGTTTTGATTAGATCAATGAAAGCTGCCTGTCCTTTTTTCGCCGGAGTTCTATCTTATTCTTTGATACTATTTCAAGGAAAAAAATTTCGGCATCTTTTATGACATCCATAACACTTAGTTTCTTTGAGTCAGGTTTATCTTGCCATAGTTTTTGCCATAGTTCGATTTCGTTGTTGATATTTGATAAATTGCAAAATTGGGAAAAGACTTCACCAGCATCTACGAGGTCTACATTTGAGCCGGGTGAAATTTAAATAACGAAAATGACCGGGTGCTTTCTTCAGAAAAGTGAACCTCAAGAGAATTAAAAATCGAGTCTAAGTATGGTATTATTAAAGACCTTCGCTAGAATTCTGAGGGGCTTGCTGCTGGGTGGTTGTTCCGTTATTGTTGTCTCCTAACAATATGGGGCACTGACTTCATCTCTTCTCCCAGTCCAAGTTTTTCTGCAACGATAGTAGCGTCTCTAATAATTTCATCTATCACGTTTTCTGAACCGTTACGGTGGTTTTTTATTAATTGCAAAATGCGGCTAATGTGCTAAGACTGCATCCAAAGCTACGGATTGGAGCACGTTTATCACAGGTTCCATCATAGCCGAGTATTTGGCTATCAAAATAAAGCTGAGTAAAACGAAATTCTTTTTAAAAACTCTAATATTTTTGTGTTTCGCAAAGCCTGGAAATATTTGGTATCAATTTGCGTCTCAAAACTGATTCTTGAAAAAATGTAATAATATATTTGATGGTTTAGATCATTAATGACTAGATTTAATTTATGTGGCGAGCAGTGAAAGAACAAAGCTTTTTTATATTTTCTGCGTAGGATTGCTTGCACACCATCTTCTTACATCTTCTAAACCAACACATTTGTCCAAGATCTTTTGCCAAAAACTCATCTATTGCTTTTGTACTACATTTCGCATCGAAAGCATCAAGCTTGACGAATCCGTGGAATACTTCTTGAACTTCCTTGGTTTCCTGATCAAAATATCGCATCCCAATCGATAGTTGTTCAGTATTCGAGATGTTTATAAAATAAATGTTAATTTAGTTTTATGATCATAAATGATTAGTGAATATTTATGATAAATTTTCCTCGATAATATTAGGATGAAATGCCGAAATCGTATCGATTTTTATACAAAAGGGAGGGTGAGAGAGTGTGATTAATTTCATTTTAAATCAACCCTTTTTTCAGAAACATTACGCCAGCTGTTCGTTTGGGGCGAGTTGAATAAAACCATATTTCTTCTCTCCTTCCGAGATTTAAAAATATTTAGACTCATTTTTTAAAAATATGGCTAAAAATATTGGGGGACTGGAGCCGTTTATAATTTTAAGATTATTTATGTGCTTTCGAAACCGTTCGATAACATCTCTCTTTGACGCGAAAGTGAATTCCCTTAGGGCATAGACTTCCATGTATACACGACGGGGAAAGCTTGTTCGGTTGCCTGCCTTTAGGCGTTTATCTTCAATTTAACAAGGTGAAAATAATAAACCATCTCTGGTTATTTAGACTTATTAAAAAAGTTTAATTTGTTATTGTCGGTTCTTGCATCTCAACCGCCAGTGGTCCTTATCATTCACCCAATCATACCATTTTAGTTGTTCTTATTTCCTCATTTTCAACTTGCTCTAGCATGGTTTTGCCACAGCATCTTCTCCAAAACATCATCTCTGCTACTAGCAGACTTATAGATCATTAATGGTTCTATAATGGCCCTAAAAATATTTTTATTTGTTTATATCGTTAGGTTGTTATTCCACAGAATCGAATGCATTGCCTTTATGGCTTTTTTTCCTCTGCCAACTTTCCTCATTACATCTTTATGAACGCCAAGGTATTCGTACCGGTCTACATGTTTTATCATGCCATTCTCCAATTATATGTCCTTTCCCGTTCCTCCAATTACCACATATTGAGTCTTATCTTTGTTCATGTCCAAGCCCCATTTATTGTATTCTTCTTCTAGTTTATTTAACATATACCTCTTCGTCCTCTACAAAACTATTTGGTCGTCCGCGAACAGCATACATTTAAAGTTATAAATAAAAATTGCATCATAATAAACTATCATTTATGTAATTATTTCGACTCACTGAGCGTAATAATGAGATAATACTTGAGGAAGTTCAACTTAAATAGGGGTTAGAGTTACCTGCTCGGTGTCATTTCGTTGGATTGTTGATGAGGCACTTTTTGTTTAGCAGCTTGTTTGTGTCGAGATAGCGCAAAGAATAAAGCCAATATAGCTTTTAATCGTCCATCTCGTAAATCCTGACCGGAAATGTTTTCAATTCCCGCAACATTTTGAGTGCGGAGTACTCCCAAACACAAATTAACGTTGTCCAACTGGAACAAAAAGAAAAAAAATCTGCTTAGTACTTTTATTTTGAAATCGTGACTTGTAGCGACCTAAAAAAAATTAAAATAAAATAATTTTTAAAAATAATAATACAAAGGTCTCGGGTTCAAAGCGAGTTATCCATTTATGGACAAGACTGGAGAAGTCTTGTGAAATGAAAAAGAGCGTGCGATGAGAAAGGGGTCGGAGTAGAGACCGTGTACACGTCTTGAAAACAAAATTAACAAACGTCTCGCGCCCCCCTGAAAAAGAAATCGAACAAAAAAATAAAGAAACGACGACGTGAACGTGGTCCGCGGCAATTAGAGCCCGACGTAAAATCTCCAACTTTTTATTGCCTCCCCTTTAACTGGTGGACCCGTTTCGAGTGTCAAAGGAGGTTTCCCTTTATCGATTTTCGACCTTTTGGGCGGCACAAATCCTTTTTTCTTTCCTTCATCTCTCCTATTTCTTTAGAATAGTATCAAGAAGAAAAAACGAATCATTAATTATTCTAAGAATTCTACGATGAGCCTCAGAAAAAAAAATGATATTCCAGTAATTTAACCAATAATAATAGTGGTTTTGCGGTTTCGTGGCCTTCGAATAATTAAAAGAAAAAACAAACAAATTATATGTTTTTTAAGTAGCACACACGTCTGGACGTTTTAGGAATTAATTTAAACCAAACATCTGTTGTTACTCAACCATTTTTTTTAGATTTTTTTTAAACGAAATCAATGAAGATTCGCTGAAACGACGACGTTTTGAAAAACGAGGAACAATGATTCACCAGACAATTACGGAGTAAATACTCCAAGAGGCGATTTGTAACGTTTCAACTGAAATATTTCTCGCCCAAACACGTTTCGAATTACTTTTAAACACAAGATTTCATTCAGGCCAAGTTTAACTTTAAAAAAAAAATAATAAACAATGAGTAATAAATGTTTGTTTTTAAAACAATGAAAAATGAAATGATTTTTTATTATCATCAACAATCGCGTTACATAACACTTATTATTTATTATAGAATGACTTTCGAGTGAAATTTTTTTCGTATGGTAATCCGATTGCGTAAAGTTTGTGCCAACCCCTTTGAAACGTTTCGTGCAATTAGGTGCTTCTATGACCGTGTGGGACGTCATTTGGTATTTATGGAGGTTCGTTTGACTTTGTAATGGACCCGTTAAGAGTTCCTTTTCTGTTGGTATCTGACGGGTGTGATATGCGAAAAGTTACGTTAACCAGAATTAATTAATGAACATTTCGAAATTATTTTAAAAATAAAAGTTATTGTAAAATTTTGAAAACTTGAAAGCTACGTGACTTGTCTCAGGTTATTTTGTTTAAAATGGATTTGGAGTGACACATTGAGATGATAACGTTCGGGGAATAGTTCTCGAAATTTTTTTTTTTTGAGAAGATTACAAGAAAATTCAATAAGAGATATTTTCAATATTTTCAATACAATTCAATACATCTTAACACCTTTTTTAAATTTTTTTTGCAAACATTTTCCAAATATCTGGACATTTATTCATAAACTAGAACCTTTTAGCTTTAATTTAAGATATATATCATTTCTTAACTCCCAAAAATAACCCAATGGCGATTTTTTAACTTTACAGATTTTTAATAAAATCCAACACATCTTAACACCTTTTTTAAAATATTTTTCCAAACATTTTCCAAATATCTGGACATTTATTCATAAATTAGAATCTTTTAACTTACATTTAAGATATATATCATTTCTTAACTCCCAAAAACAACTGAATGGCGATTTTTTTAAATTTTACAGATTTTCAATCAAATTCAACACATGTTAACACCTTTCTTAAAATATTTTTCCAAACATTTTCCAAATATCTGGACATTTATTCATAAATTAGAATCTTTTAGCTTACATTTAAGATATATATCATTTCTTAACTTCCAAAAACAACTGAATGGCGATTTTTTTAAATTTTACAGATTTTCAATCAAATTCAACACATGTTAACACCTTTCTTAAAATATTTTTCCAAACATTTTCCAAATATCTGGACATTTATTCATAAATTAGAATCTTTTAGCTTACATTTAAGATATATATCATTTCTTAACTTCCAAAAATAACGCAATGGTGAATTCTTTTTAATTTATAGATTTTCAATCAAATTCAACACATGTTAACACCTTTCTTAAATTTTTTTTCCAAACATTTTCCAAATATCTGGAAATTTATTCATAAACTAGAACCTTTTAGCTTTAATTTAAGATATATATCATTTCTTAACTCCCAAAAATAACTCAATGGCGATTTTTTTTAACTTTGCTGATTTTCAATAAAATCCAACACATCTTAACACCTTTCTTAAATGTTTTTTTCAAACATTTTCCAAATATCTGGAAATTTATTCATAAACTAGAACCTTTTAGCTTTAATTTAAGATATACATTTCTTAACTCCCAAAAACAACTGAATGGTGAATTCTTTTTAATTTATAGATTTTCAATCAAATTCAACACATGTTAACACCTTTCTTAAATTTTTGTTCCAAACATTTTCCAAATATCTGGAAATTTATTCATAAACTAGAACCTTTTAGCTTTAATTTAAGATATAAATCATTTTTTAACTCCCAAAAATAACTCAATGGCGATTTTTTTAACTTTACAGATTTTCAATAAAATCAAACACATCTTAAAACTTTTCTTTAAAATTTTTTTCAAACATTTTCCAAATATTTGGACATTTATTCATAAAGTAGAATCTTTTAACTTACATTTAAGATACATATCATTTCTTAACTCCCAAAAATAACGAAATGGCGAATTCTTTTTAACTTTACAGATTTTCAATACAATTTAACACATCTCAACACCTTTCTTAAATTTTTTTTCTAAACATTTTCCAAATTTCTGGAAATTTTTCATAAACTAGAAGCTTTTAGCTTTAATTTAAGATATAAATCATTTCTTAACTCCCAAAAATAACTCAATGGCGATTTTTTTATCTTTACAGTATTTCAATAAAATTCAACACATCATAAAACCTTTCTTAAAATTTTTTTCCAAACACTTTCCAAATATCTGGACATTTATTCATAAACTAGAATCTTTAAGCTTTAATTTAAGATATATATCATTCTTTAACTCCCAAAAATAACTCAATGGCGATTTTTTTAACTTTACAGATTTTCAATATAATCCAACACATCTTAAAACCTTTCTTTAAAATTTTTTTCAAACATTTTCCAAATATTTGGACATTTATTCATAAAGTAGAATCTTTTAACTTACATTTAAGATATATATCATTTCTTAACTCCCAAAAATAACGAAATGGCGAATTCCTTTTAACTTTACAGATTTTCAATACAATTTAACACATCTTAACACCTTTCTTAAATTTTTTTTCCAAACATTTTCCAAATATCTGGACATTTATTCATAAACTAGAACCTTTTAGCTTTAATTTAAGATATAAATCATTTCTTAATCTCAAAAATAACCTAATGGCGTTTTTTTAAAATTGCCAAAAATTGTTTGGAAACATTTAATTAGCTTATTTTTCTTAGGATATTGTTTAATTACTTTTGGATATATTTTTTAAGCATATTTTTATCAATTTGCAGGTCGCGTAATTGAAACCTCAACGTATTAAGTTTCCTATTGTTGTTCTCCTGGCAATAATAACATTACGTCCAAGGACTTTACGCTTGCTTAGCGGAACTTGTTGAACTGTTTTCTACGTTGATTTATTTTATTTTATTCATTTTTTTATTTTTTACCCGAACAAATTTTTGCGTAACAATAAATCGCGTTAATAAAAAGAATTCAAGTCCGGTTTGAACACCACTAATGGTGTGCAATAAATAACGGTGCATTTCAGGAATGCGCCGTTGGTCTATTCTATACTCCTATTCTATTGTATTAGGATATTTTTGTCGGTTATAGGTTGGCACGATTTCCTATAAATGGTGATCGCCTTCACTAGTAAGGTACCGTTAATAAGTGACCACCAACAAATATCTTGATCTAGGTCAAATTTGAGATTCAAAAAGAATTTTATGCCGTAAAATAGAAATAAGCTAAAGATAGAAGATATTCTAGAAGTTTTAATAAAACATTTCTCGAGATGTTTTATGTTTTATGTTTTACGACCGAAGACGTCTCGAGATTAAATTAAATATCATCATATCGTCACGTACAAAACCCTTTTAAAGGACAATTTTGATACGAAATCCATGTATCGGCTTTCGCAAAGCCCATTAAGGTTCGAGCTTTCAGAAAGCTCGCGTTCTCCAGATAAACTTCAACTCAAGATACTCTTTGCAAGGGACACTTTACAAATGATGAAAGATTTCTACTTGAAAAAACAAAGAGAGAGAACTCCTTAAATGCCAGATTTGATCAATTAATTGAATTAATTTGAAATTCTTTGAAGGGAAAAAAACAATGAATTTTAATAGATGTCTTTTTTTAACTGAGTTGAATCTTAATTTATTGCCGACCGTAAACGGATTATTATCGAACGCAAAGATCGTCTTCTTCATGACAAAGAAGTACGTGACTAAATACCAAAATACCAAAAATGAAAAGCGTTACATAGAAAATATTAAATTAAAAATAAAAAATTTTTCATAAACCACCTGTTTACCTTCAACTATCAAAAATCACCTCAAAACCTCATCAAATCGAATCGAAATAAACATTTAATGAAATTTAAAGAAACCTTTTTCAGATACCGAACGAAATGATCCTCTCGAAACGTGTCATCGCGTTGCATAACGCGTTATGTAAATCAGGTGTACGAACGCCCCCAAAACAAGACTTATAAGAGGTTAAAAAAAATAAAAACCAGGTCGTTTTACCTGATAAATAATTCGCACAACATTCCATCCAAGGCCACGCGGTACGATTCGATCGTGCGATTACAAAAACCCAAAATAAATAAAAAAAATATAAATAAAACTTTCACGTGGTTCGCGACGTCGCGACGCCGTCGTCGATGTCTTTCTCTTCTGATCGCAAGTGTTGACCGTTGCGAGTCCGCGCGTAAACTGACCGATTGGAGACCCAGCATTGTGTTTCTCAAGAGAAATGAAACTCTTTCGCCCCCACCTTTTTTCGATTTTTCTTCATCGTCTTCTTATAATCAAAATATAAAGTAGAAGGGTTAATAGTGTTTAAAAGATTTTTTTTTAGAAAAGAAATTGAAAAATATTTATAATTATTTCCTCTAGAAAGATTCTTCTACCTTCCATAGAAATTTCGAAATTTTGTCTACTAGGTCGGAGTTAACAGCAATATGTAGGATGGAGATGATAGATCAGATAATCTTACCAGGTCATCCATTTTCCTCTACAATGATTAGTTACAGAAGCGATATTCCAATTTTGAGATTTTCGGCCAGTTTCTATATAAAAATCCAAAAAAGTGCATTTAAATGGAAACTCTTAAGTACTATTCTCTACTTGATCTAATCCAGAATGACCTACTAAATACTTTAAACACATAAAATTCAATTTTGGCAATGAAATAAAAAAGTTACAGGTCTTTGAAAGAGTCTTTTTTCAAGTTTCAAGTTGAGCAGAATTCCCAAACGATTTAGTTTGAATTACATCCTATTTCTCATTACGTTTAGCAATAAATACGGAAAAAATTATTATGTCGTCATTTATAAAGCAAGAAAATTATTACTGCCATATTCTATTATTATGGAAAATTGATTTTTCTGGTTTTTTTTACAAAATTGCATTTAAATGGAAACTCTTAAGTACTATTCTCTACTTGATCTAATCCAGAATGACCTACTGAATACGGTAAACACATAAAATTCAATTTTGGCAATGAAATAAAAAAGTTACGCGTCTTTGAAAGAGTCTTTTTTCAAGTTTCAAGTTGAGCAGAATTCCCAAACGATTTAGTTTGAATTACATCCTATTTCTCATTACGTTTAGTAATAAATACGGAAAAAATTATATCGTCATTTATAAAGCAAGAAAATTATTACTGCCATATTCTATTATTATGAAAAATTGATTTTACTGGTTTTTTTTACAAAATTTGAGGTTGAGCAAAATATTTGATCAATTTAATCTTAATTGCGTCGGAATCAATAACAGCAAATATATACAAATCATTTTTTTCACTTTCTATTTTGTTACAAAACCAGGATTTAATGAATTTCCAAAAATTTCGGGTTGAGCAGGATTCCTGAACAATTTAATTTGATCTATTTTGTATTTCGCATCAACTCATAGCAGCAAATGTGGAAAAAAATATTTTTGACACTGACTATTTTTATGAAATACAGCTTTTTCTAATTGTTCTTTGCATATTTCGGGTTGAGCAGAACGATGATCAATATAATTTAAACTGCACCGTATTCGTCATGATCTAAAATTGCATTTTTTTGCAAAAATAGTTTTTTTCAATTTCGATAAAGATTTCTTGATACCAACTTTATTCACTGTATTTGTATTTCGCCAGGTGCTTAGAAATCGTGCTGTCAACAACTATTCTGCAACCTTCCACGCCAGAGAAACTAATCTAAGAAATTCAATCTCTGAAGTCGCTTCTTACCACAATCAGAATTCTCGAGTCATTCAAAAACGTTTTATAAGTAGTTAGATGAGATGGCAAACCCGAAAACGAAATAATCTTAATATTGGAGAATTTAGAAGAAAACGATTAAAACGTGAATAATGGATTAAATGTTAATGACTCGATTTTTTTTTTAAAAACTTTAAAGATTTTCAAGAGAAGAAGTAATTAAAATTTAGGAGAGGAGCTATAAATCGAGTAATTCGACCCTTAAATTCCAACATAAGGGGTTTTTAAACGACCGAATTAGATTCGCCCCTTTGAAAAATGAGGGTTTTGTTGAAACTTTTTTGGGTTAAACTAAAATTAAATCTACCTAAAAAAAAAATAAACAAACTTAAGAAGGTAACCTACTTTAAAGAAGATTTCTTTTTTCTTAAAACAAAAATAAATCACGTTAATTAGTTTCGTTTGCTTACCATTTGCGATGGAGTTTTCGGTTTCCTGTTAATATCCGGTATTTTCTGGCAGGCTAAAAATAGAAAAATAAATCAAATTAGAGATTAACATAATTTAAAAAAGAAAAAATCTACATCCACTCCCTAGTTTGTGTATTCTCTCTTTTTCCTAAAACTAATTACCATAGGAGTTTCTTCCCAATAAATCTCTTTTACCCACACGTCGGTTTATCTACATGGGCGAGTGACGAAAACCCTATACGAGGTGTGACGCGTCATCTTTCACCTTCGCTTCGTCGATTGTGTCTCTTTCTCGTGTCATCACACCCTATTGTCGATGAAACCCACACGGTGGACTCTCTTATTGTACACACAACAAACGGAAAAGAGGATGGGAGAGGTCCAATTTTCATCTTAGAAGTGAAAGAATTAACTAACTTAAAATTTTGATACTTACTGACAGATTCTATCACTTCAGCTAATAATATTCCGTCGCTACAATCAGTCGCGAGACAATTCACCCTTTTTTTACTCCTCGCTTTGTCTAAATAATGATTCGCCCAATCGGTGTAGATCTAAAACGAAAAAAAAGTTTGGATTAATAAACGATGATAAGGAAAAAAAAAGAAAAGATGTTTTGTTGGTAATAAAATGAAGGATATAAAAGGGATCTTATTGTTAGTTGTAATAGGATGAGACCTAAACTTAGAAAGGGGTTTTAACCCCCTTTATCTACCAAAGTAAGTCTATTTAGGGCAATCTATACGGATGTTCTTAGCGGACGTGTCATCTAGAAACCGCAGAAACCCTCCAACACGTCCCAACCGGACAACCCTCCCATGAAAAGGGTCTTGATTTAGTTATTACTATAAATTTGAATGAAAAGAATTTTTATTCCCAAATAAAAATTAACACCACTTATTAAATTTAAACCCAAAAAAATTTATTCAAATGGAAACTTTTTTTCTGCTTGATCCAAAGCAGAATGAAAAACTTTGGCAATTAAATAAAAAAGTTACATGAAGAAATTTCTTTTTACCATTTGTTATTTTAGAATTTTTATAAATTGCAGATTAAACAAAACTTTTGATCAATTTAGCAAATATGGGAAGAAAGTCATTTTTGATTTCTTTAAAAAAAAACAGATTTTTGGTTTGAGCAGAATTCCCGATCGTTTTAGTTTGAGCTATATCGTATTTCTCATCATCTTTAACAATAAATACGAGAAAAAAATGATTTCTGTAATTTCCGATGTTTGCGAAAAATGAGTTTTTCTAGATTTTTTGGAAATTTCAGGTTGAGCAGAATATGTGATTGATTTAATTCGAACTCCATCGTATTCTTCGTCATATACAGGGTGATTCACATAAGAACAGACACAGAGCAGGGACATGTAGAGGACAATAAATTAAGATGATTTAACGCAACTTATCTCTATACCAAGTTGTACCTCTGAGGAGTTATTAATACATTATTACCTCATTCCATGTGGAATTTAATTCTAAAACTTTTTTTACTCTTACTATTTTTTAAAAAACATTGTCGTTTTCATAAAAAACTCAAAAAACTAAAGACGCGTATCTTGTTAATGCTACTTAAAATCATCGAAAATTCAGTAGTCGGCTGTGAAATTGTACGTAATTTGAGAAATAAACTGTTTATTATGAGCTAAAAAGACATCATCCATAAACAAATTTAGTTTAGGCATAATAATTTTCTAGTGATAAAGAGAAAATATC